GGAAATAGTTGCAGTATTGAGCAGCTCTCCAGTTGTGCCTTTCTTCTCATCTGCTTTCACTCCCGTCTTCCATTGGTTCCAGAGGTGACCAAGTCCTTGCAGTCTTGGTCTCTCCTTTCAGCTGGAGTGGGAAGAAATGGAAGATGATTTTCCTCAGCAAGGAGAACTTCCTTTAGCTCATGTGCACTAATGTTTGTGCCCTTAAGCTATCACCCTCATGTATGTGATTTTCTACACAATAGCTTACCCACAGATGTCTTTCTCACAAGTCCCGCAACTTCCCAATTTAAATTTAATCATTTTCTTTCACTTAAAAATTTTTGGATAAGTTCTATATATAACAAAGGAAAAAAAACACAAGAAATAGATGATTTAAAATTAAATAAGGAACTTACTTATACTATAATTCTATAGTTCTATGACAAGCCTAAAACACTCAGCTCCATACTAAAATTAGACATTTGTATCTTAGCCAATGATTTTATTTTTAGAGCATGTTAGTAGTAGATGATGAATATAAGAGAAGGGCTTTAACACTGTAAAACTCTACATGTATCTAAACAAAAATAGAGGACAGTACATTCTTTGTAGCACAAGACTTGCAGTGGTTGAACAGCATATAAGCTACAGAAGCAGTCTCGATATAAAGGATGGAAAATGTCAAATGGGATCTAACTCAAACCTTGTTAACTGCTCTGTTGCAACATTTTTTTTTCACAGAATCTGTGATGTCAACTAAATTGCAGAAATCCTTCTCTCTGCAGTGTGTCAATCACTACCATCCACAATACAGAAGTTCACAAGCAGATGTATCTTTAAAATACTCCTTATATATATATATATAAGTAAAGTATATAAGTATATAAATACTTATTTAAAATAATGACAAAAGTGAATAGGTCTTCTTTACATGGATTATCTGACAATATTTTTACAATCGTTGGTTACATGGGCTTAAAATTCCCACTAATTTTATTTCACCAAAACCGTAGGACACCTAAACACTACTAAAACCTGAAAATGTCTAAATTATTTTTTTCCTTAAATCATTACATTTCAGGCAAATTAGAGGCATGCTACTGGCTATTTTCTGAAGGCTGAAGCACCCAGATGTTCCATTTTCAGTGACACTTCATGTTTAACAACCTCACCGTCATTGGTAATAACTCTCTGCTTTTGGTTTGAAAATGAAGATGTGAAAAGATGCTTTGATACTTTAGTTTTCTGTTTTTTAGGGAAGCTACCAAAATGGTTAGCTAAATGACCAATCAGTTCAAAATTTGTATTCAAAGTTGGATCCAAACATCCTACAAGTCTATATGATCCTGTTAACTTCAATGGCCACACTGCTTGTGCCCAGAGATGATAAATAAATTGGTGAGATTTTCATGGGAAAACACACTTGCGAGTTAACTAAAAAGGAAAATTTGCCTGACTTAAATAGTTATGTGTGATCCTAAAAATTTTTTAGAAAGGCAGATAAATAGATAAAGACTTCCGCCTTCCAAACCATCTCCAAGCAGCAGTGATTTATACAGGTTTTCTCAAACTAAACTTTTACCCACTCAAAACAAGGTCAAGGAGAGAACAAAGAGAATCAGTTTGGAGAAGAAGTGACCATGTCTCTTTGACAGGAAGATACAATACTTAGTGAGGCATATGGAACATTCTCATCAAGTTGTCATCATGTTGCCTTTTTACTCATTGAAATACTACAGCTAGACTGTAATTTAACAGCATGGTACTCAAGGCTCCCTCTTTGCATTGCTTCTGAAATTAAAAAAACAAGGAAGTTGGGTTGCACTATCATTTATATATCTGTCTTGTAGCTAGAAAATATGTTTGATTATTAATGTCAGCAACTTTGTTTTCCCATTTCCTTAAGAGATTCAAAACTAAGAAAACCTTCATTCTGTAGTGCCCCTCAGTGGAATAAAGAAGTTGTTGATGTGTTTCTGTCTAATTTTTTCAATAATTACGATTTTTCTCTTTGGTGATTTGATTTCAGACAATTATTGCTTTTTCTGGAAGCTAGAACTTAGCGTGCAGTAGATAGGAGAACAATTGTATTTCTGAGTAAATTTTACCACAAAATAAATGAGAAAACTTATAAAAGTGAAAAGTATCCTGTATAAAAATATTCTTCCAGTACTAGAAAATGAGACTATTTGGGATTTTCTTAACAGAGAACAAGAAAGAGAACCTAGGGGTCAAAATGGCCATCTAAACAATGGTATACTTCTCTCTTTGAGAATAAGCTATCTATACAAAGTAACAGGCTGAAAGCTGTAAACAAATCTTGTCTGTGTGTATTGGTAAAACAGAGCATCCTTTTCCTGCATGCATGATGAACATATCACTGAATTATTTAAATTGCTGGGATTTTGGACCAAGTAAATTAAAATCATGTTCTAATAATTTTACTAATTTCTGTTATAATAAGAGATAAAACAGTGGACAAAACTCCTGAGGAAGTATTTACAGCAATATCTAATACAATCTTTGAGACACGAGTACAGAAGAAAAGATTGTTGTTGTGTGGAGGACGTTATTACAAACAAGCACACAAAAAATTTCATAAACGAAGACAGCAAGCACAAAGGATCATGTTCCTTCTTTTTTTGATTAAAAAGACAATGGCTCCTACATTAAGAAGCACACTTTGTACAGGAATGCTTTGCTCACAGGTGAATAATATGATTCTTTATCTCTTAGTTAATTGGGAATTTTTTGAGAACTTTAGTCAGGACAAATAGGTAATATGAAAGCTGTATATCTGACCTTTTCAGCTGTATAAATAATATATAAATCATATTTTAATTTACCCTTGTATTTCTTAGTTCTGGAAAACTACAAGATAGGAGAAATAGATTCATCTTCAGTATATTATTCTTTTTTATGAATATTCATAATCATAGGAGGTTCATTCATGAGAATTCTCACAAGATATTTCCTTTTTTTTTAATCAGTTATCAGCCCTTCACACTTTCACATTCTCCTCCCAGTAGTGTTCACATTCCTTTATCTTTTCTTCTTGGCTTCCAGTATCTTGTATCCTTGGTAAGAAGTGCTAGTGTTGGTATGTAACTGTGAAGAGTTAGCTGCTGACTCTATGTGAAGCCCAAAGCAGCTTAAACAAGTGCTTTCTCTAAGGGAGAAAGACTTTCATTCATTTCTCACTGTACCAGGTGGATTATACAGTAGGATGCTGGAGTGGATAATAAAGCACTAAGTAAGATAGGAAAGGGAAGAGACTCAGTTGCTCTTCTGAGTGTTTATGCTCTGGTAGATAAAGACATCCCTCTGCAAGTGGGCTTACTGCATTTCTGTTCTCTTCTGTTGGATTAAAGCAAAATTTCACAGAACTTTTTCTGCAGGGAATTTTGCATCTAAGCTGGACCATACTAAGTTGTAAATGGCAGTGTAGAGAAAAAGCTAGGGTATTTCCAGGGTTTGGGATCAACAGGAGAAATCTTCATAGTGATGTACAAATTAAACATGTTCTGTCTTGAGTTCTAAGTGGAAAACGTAATATGGAACAAATAGAAATTTGTTGGCATTCTGCATCAATTAGTAAGAGCAGGATGTGTATAGATCTGTGCAACAACAAGCTGCAGTGTGCTACCTTTTGCTAACAGCCAAATTCTACCTAGACATTTGTTCACTGCTTCAGCAGGGTAGGGGAAGAAAACTGGAAGAATAGAAAGGAGAATGGCTCATGGGAAGAGGGAGCTCAGGGAGCTTGCTTGCTAATTACCACCATGGACAAAGCAGGCATAGTTTTGTGAAAGTTAAATTTATTGCCAATTAAAATAAATGTCATTAATAAAAATGTCATTAATAATTGGATTGTAGGAAACAGAAAGGCAAACATTCAGACAAAACCCTTCATCCCCCTTTTCCAGAGTCTACTTCAGTCTCAACCGCCCCTCCTTGATCAATTAGAAATGACCCACTGTGAGAACCCACGGTTTGCTGGAAAGATGGGATGAGAATTAATTAACTCTAGAAGCTGTAAAAGGCTGAAATCAGACTCCAGCTGCAACAGAAGTAACAGTGTGAAACAATGAATGCGGTCAGAGGGCTGAAGATGAGATCAGTGAACTGTATTAGCAGGAGCAGGCAGCTCTCTGGTGATCACTTTGCTCTTGGCTGAGCGACATAAAATTTATCTATTGGGCTTCTGCAAGCCTTGATGAAGCCTTTCTGTTCCTGTTTACTTCAGCGGAATTTTAGCATCTCAGGGAAAGGTGAACTGCAAGAGGAGTTTCATCTCATGAAATGCTGATTTACCTGCACAACAATCCTATGGAGCAATAAGCCTTTCATGTGCAAAGACTCACCAAACTCCATGGGCAGAGAGACTTCAAATCCCAAAACAGGGATATGCAATTAGTTGTGCTGTCTTCAGACCATAGTCTGGTTCTTGCATCACCTCCTGGGTTTTAGCAATTGCTAGTGTAGACAAGCCATAGTTATTAAAAGTGTTAAAAAAATCTTATTGTAAAAAAATCTCACAATTTTTGGTCTCTCTGTTTCTTGGCCATCGAGATCATCTTGACCTCAGATTAGTTATAGGAAAATGCATTTTTCTTTCTTTTCTTTTTTTTTCTTTTTCTTTTTTTTTTCTTTTTTTTTTTTTCCTAGTTTTACAATAATAGTTTAAATAAGTATCTTGACAAATGTGGGTTATTTTGGTACCAAATGAAGTTCTGTCTTAAATGGCTGTAAATAATTTGACTTAACTGTTAGAGTATAATCCATAAAAAAGTGTGTGGAAACACTAGTTAAGATAAGAATTGCAAAAAGCCCATTAGGAGTGAATAAAATGGGGAACGATTCATTTTCAGCTGTAAGAAATGCCATCTTAATATTTATGGGATTTGCAATTACTTAGCAGTAATTACTTAGTAATTACTTAGTAGGAGTAAAATTTTACATACATAAACTCCTACCTTCCACTTTTGCATTCACAAAAACAATCTTACAGTCACAGAAACACAGTATATAACCTTTATTTTTCAAAACAGATAACAATCAGCGTATGATTTTGAAATATTTCAGGCTAATTTGAGTAAAGCCATGCAATTCAAATAATACTTTTTAAGGTTCCAGTTGAATTTAAAGAGAAAAATGCTTGCCATTTTGAGAGCACAACTGTTTCCTTTGTACTTAGAGGATATCAGATTGATATTAGAGAAGAAAAATAAATAGCTCATTTCATATTACTTTTTCAGTGATAATCAATATTTATGTTTACAGAGCGCTCAGAGGCATAACTGAGACATTATGGGAATGATACATGAAACATATCCTCACCACCTCTCAACTCAAATGAGAAAGAAAAGTTATGGCTAATCATAGTGTATGGAATTGACAGTGGTAAAAATTGTTGAAAAAAATGAAGGCTTATAGTGCAATCTTGCTTTGATTATTGAAATTGGATAAAGTCCTGAATGAAATTAAAGGATTTTTGGAAAGTTATAGTCTTATTTTAAGATTCACAATACAAGCCTAAGGCAATAACATCCATAATAATATACACATAATCATAAATTGGGGAAAAAAAACAAAACCAAAACAAAAGAACCCAACACTGGAAATATAAAAAGGCCTACTGAAACAAAAGTAACAAGTGACATTTTATCATGAAATATTCTCTGCCAGCAGCTTTATATCACTGTAAATCTGCGAAAATGATTTCACAGGTAACAGCGGAGGCCTGAACTTTTTTTTATCTGCCATGCACTCCAGTATGGAAAGAGCTACTCCTAGAGAATGATCCTACCTCTTTTCAGAAACCATTATCTAAGTTGCTTGTTGCAATCACAGATTTTACAGCAAAGGACAAAATATGAGACTGGATCTAGTCTATATGAGGCCGTGATCAATAATCAGAGTATCAGCTTGACTCAACAGTGCAACAGCAAAGCAATCTGAATTGCATTAGTTTGTCAGAGATTCAGTTGTCCGAAACACATGTGAGTCAGTTATTTAATTGAGATATGAGCAGGTTGGCAGGCAGAGAGAATGGGGAAAAGCAGTGATATTGCCTGGAATTATGCAGAAAATAGAGCAATGGATTGTTACAGGTGCAGTCAGATGCTACAAGTATCCAGTTGTACAATGAATGTAGTGCTCCTTCAGCTGGTAGTTGTGTCTCTAAGATCACTGCTGTACCTTTTATAGATTAAATGCAAGCATACAGCAGCTTGAGAAAATGCGTAGCATTTTACATTGTCAGATGTATAAACAAGCAAGGTACTGATTTTCAGTTAAGGGTTTTCAGGGATTTAATGTCTTCCCATCGTTTTCCTAAGGTAACCAATCAATTATTTCTATAGAAACAAACAAAAGAAAGTTGAAGATAGGCTTACTTACTTTCAGTTCTCATCTATAATTTATCAACAGGGATGTATTCTGAAAAAATCCTTCTAATAGCTCAGAAACTCTGTCTATGGGGAGGAGTTACTTCTAGTAAAATCAACTACCCAGATTATTGCATATGCTTCTGATTTTATTTTTATTTTTTCTCTCACTGATCTGAGATTGTAACAAATTGGCATGCATGCACCCTGGGTATTTGGATTGGTTTCATGTTTTGACCAGCATCATATATCACAGCTTTTCATCTTATGCTCATAGAAAATGGTTGGCTGGTGTATCCTCAATTTTCATGGTTTTTGCTGCAAATAGATCTGATTTTGTTTTGTTTTGTTTTGCTTGTTTCTTGGGATCGGCATGTTGATAAAACATCGATTTTTCTCACCTTTGCCATGTTGTTTTACTTTCTCTTCTCACTTTGGGCTTTATAATGTGAACTACTTGTATTTTGCCAGCAGGCAGGGCAAACATAGTGCCTTTAACTGCTTCAAGTTAAACAGAAATATCCATCATTAGCATGACTTGAAGAATCAACTTACTGGTAGTATGCTGAGCTGCTGATAGCAATTGTGAACTTCAAGCCACAATAGTCAATGAGAAATAAAAATAGCACCAGTTGCAGGGCACATTTTCATGATTTATTGAGACTTTCTCCTGTCAGCAATTTGATTGAACTTTAAGAAGTGATTCAGGATTGCCGGCAGTCTTGCAATCTTGCTGATATAAAAGCTATGTTCAGCCTCACACTCCCTAGTTAAGAATAAATGGAAAACAGACTGACTTTAATGCTGAGCAGGTTAAGAAAAACGGAGCTAAAGAGGCAGGAAATCACACACACGCTCACACACACAATCAGGCCAATGCTTTGTTAGCAGCCTTTCCACGAGAAATGGGGTGCTTTTACTTCTCTGCCTTTGTCAAACACAGCTTATTACTCTTTGTTTTGCCCGTGTCTCATGGAAACTTTTCCAGGTACATGTGACAAATGGATCACATTCTTGCAATGACAAGTACCACTGTGACTACTGTGGACCTCAGCAGAAAAGATAATGTGCAAAATGCGAGCAATCACAGGACTCAGTCTCTCTACTGTCCTGGCTTCCTTGTCTTTCTCTTGGAAGTCTTTGAGTGACTCTTTTCTTCCTTGTCTGAAGAAGGATTGGTAGGAAACTGCAGTCCAAATCCGTTAGGTCCATTTATGAAAACACATTGAAAGTAGCGGACAGGAGCTAGGAAAACAAAGAAGAGGTGGTTAACATTTATAATTTCCAAATCAACACCATGAGTCTCTGTTGTATTCCCTCAGAAAAGGATTGTATAATTTAATTCCCATTAATTGAGTTACAACAACACACATTTTTATTGTCTCACAAGGCAGACTGCACATGTCAACAAGATTTTAGCTGAAGAGTTCAGCATGAGATATTTGTAGAAGTTTAGAAACTATAGACAATTTACATTTTTATTTCATTATTCCACACAGTTGTAGGCCTTTTTTGTTTTTTTTTTTCCCCACAGAATATTTACATTCTAGGATAGCTGAGTGGAAACTCCTGAAAGCAACATGCATATTTTCTGATCTTGTATTTCACAGACACTTAGAGATAGATTGAGAAGTTCCAGTAGGTCTCCAGTGAAATGGTGATGGTGGCATTTTCTGTTAGGGTTCAGATGAGTATGTACATGTATCTATTGGTCTGAAAAGGGCAATACATGGCACTGGCTCCTTTTTTTGATTTTTGAGCACTGCTCTGTATAGTCACACTTCATTGTGCAATATTTTAACGGTTTTCAGGAACAGATCTTTTCAGCACAGATGAAATAGACCTTATTTGTTACAGAAGCTGAGTTGTGTGGACTCTGAAATTAATGCTGACAAGATTTTAAAAGATAACTATGAGTCTGGCATGCATTTGTGAAAATGATTGGAGGAGTGCTGGAATCTGAAAAAGTTAGTTCTCATACAATTATTTTTCTGCTGACCATTTCTTTCCTCTGCTGTTCATTCCACATAAAAAAAAAAAATAATAATAATAATAAAAAATAAACAAAAAACAAACAAACAAAAAAAACAACAAGCTGTTTATTCTAACAGGTCCGATCTGAGATGGACTCCAAGGCTCCCTTGTGTTTTGAACTCAAAAGCAAGGTTTGTTTATTTACCGCCAAGTCACAATAAAAAGTTGAACACAGAATGGTGTGTCAAAAATGCTGGTATGTTCAACCCAATTATTTTATCCTCTGTGGCTTTCTTGCTTCACTCATTCAAAGGTTAAGTATATACTGTCTAAAAGGTGCACTTGAAAGTGATGTTAGAAATAAGATTCTCCTGAAAATGACTTACTGCTTTCCCTCTAAATCTAAGAATAGAACCATTTTTTCCCTCAAGCTATTGGTATTTTCACTGTGGTCCTCTGTAAGATGAATCCAGGATCTCTTTTAGAAAGATGAAATTAGGTTAGAGAAATCACCTTCTGATTAGAGCCCACAGCAAGGATATAGAGATTATTATAAAGGCATTTATAGAAACATGGAATCATAGAATCACAGAGTTGGGAGGGACCCACAAGGATCATGGAGTCCAGCTTCTGCCTCCACACAGGACCACCACTGAAATCCTACATACGAATATGTTGTCCAATTCCAGCAGTCTTGGTGCCTGTTTCATGCTTGACCACCCTCTGGTGAAGATCTTTTCCCTAACCCCCAAATTACCCTCCCCTGATGCAGCTCCACGCTGTTCCATTGGATCCTGACACTGTCACCAGACAGCAGAGTTCAGTGCTACTCCTCCACTCCCTATGAGGAGCTGTAGGCCACCATGAGGTCTCCCCTCAGCCCCCTCTGCTCTGGGCATCTCTTAATGTGGATCAGCTATATTCTCTGTGTTTGCTTACTGTGTGGTATACAGTAGTTTCTGGGATATATAATAATTACAATTAACAGGCTTATTTCACTCAATAAGATATCTTTCCTAAATAAAGCTAATTAAAAACAATAAATTGCCACAAAAGAAGCTATGATTAAAACCAATCATTTCCTATCAAAATGCTCTGCCAGAGATTTCTCAATAGGTTTCACTTAATTAAAAAAAAAAAAACAAAAAATCAAGACTAAAATCAACTCCCACTGAGCGTCAATTTGATAAAAAAATATTTTATAGGAAAGAAATTGCCAATTTAAAACTCACCTTTATCTTTTTAAATGGAAACAATTTCTGCATATTCCTCTAATGGATATAAAAATTAAAAAAATAAAAATGAAATAAAATTTAAAAATAATTTAAAAAATAGTCAGTAGCCAGTTCACTCTTCCTTATGAAGAAGGCAAGTAGGGTATCATGCACTTTCTAGCTGCAGTAAATACCAGTAGGTACTTTATTTAAAGACAGTAGAAATCGTTTCAAAAATAACTGTGCATGCAAAATTCAACTCTTTCTTTTACACATTCAGTAAGTCCTGATACATACTAGATCTTTTATAGGAAGGACTTTAAACATGTTTATATATATCATAATCAGCATGCTTGATACCACAGCATTTTGTAAAGAGGTCATTTTTAGTTTTTGGATGGTATTCAAACTTCTTTTTTTTTTTTTTTTTTTTTTTTTTCAAACTGTCTTGGTTAGTTTTCCTATTAATACTCCCAGCACATAACTGCTCCTCATTGTTTGCCTTTTTTTTTTTTTTTTTAAAGCATATAAAACAAACCCAGTCGCCTATACACAAGAAATCCTTTTCCACTATTTCTCTTTAATGTTGTCCTTTTCAGCTGCTTTATCATGCAAACCTAAGCTGCAAAAAAAATGCAGATAAAATGTCATTCAAACAAATGCCAACATCTTTGGAACTATGTATGTATCAGAATCTGCAGCATTGTTACGATGCACCATAGCTAGGAAACAAATTGAATTTTGGCATGCAAAGAGGACTATGAATGTAACCCCTTCTCCTTTTATATTTCCCACATTAAATATGAATACAGAATGTGTCTTCTAACTGAAGAATGTTCCCAATTCTAATGTATTGTCTCATATCTTCAGGGCAAATGTTATTTAAAAAAGAGCAATGAGCAGTAGGAAACATGACTTAACATTATAATTCTTTCCTTAGATTATCAGAGGAAAAAAGTCTTATATCTGGACTTATGCTTTTGGATAGGATGTAATTTATGATAACTTTCAATTCTTTAGCAGAAGAGGAAAAAGACTGGGTGTCATGCTTGAGGCCTTTTTTCATTAAAAAGTTACTCTAATGCTTTAATCATCTTCATGACCCTTTGCTGGATTCTCTCCAGTAAATCCACATTTCTCTTGTATTGGGGCGCCCAGAATTGGACCCAGAAAACTACATGTGCCCTTACTAATGCTGGTGTATCCACGGCTCCTAATTTTAAGTCATCTGCAAACTTCTGACAGTACACTCTGCCTCATCATTAGTATAATTAATGAAGACATTAAATAGGATCAACTCCTGTGGATCACCACACCCTGGGCCCTGTCATTCAGACAGTTTTAAATCTATATCACTGTTTGCTCATCCAGCCCTTACTTCTCCATGAGCATCCTATTGCTGATATTGCTGAAACCGGTAGACAGCATTCACTTCTCATCTCAGCTTAACACAGCTACCAGTGCACTCAATCAGAGAAATTATCAGGTAGATCGAGAATTTTTTCAGTGACTATCTTGAAGGATTTTGTCTGTAGATGTCAGTGATCAAACCCAGACCTTTATATGAAATGGATAAATCTTGTCTAGTATTCTACAGTACTAATGACTCTAATGGATCTGGAATGCTGTTTGTGCAAAGGAACAGGCAGCTGTGTCCTGCTTGTATTATTCTGTAATTTTGTACTCCTATTGATCTTCTAAGAAGAGGTGTGAATTGGAATGTCTCCAGATAAGAGCAGTCTGAAAAACTGTCAAATTAACTGGGACAGCAGTGCCTAATTATAAACCAGTTCTGACAGCAAATAAACTCGAGGTAAGGTAACAGAACTGACAAACTCAGACAAGATTAATAAAGGGGGCTAGTACAGTGGTTGGGGTAGATGTTGCAGATGTCCTCCTGTAGTAGGAGCAGCATAAATCCAAAGTTCTTCTAGATCATCCATGTGACTTTGATTATTTCAAAAAAGAGTACCACTTAACTTCGATTACAATATCAGTGTGCAGAAAGGCTACCCATAAGTGTATAATTAAAATAAAAATGGATGTTTTTCCTGTTTGTGGTTTGTATTGTACAGATTTTGAATTTACAATCTACAGTTTTCTAGTGATATTGAATTGGCTTCAGATCAGATCATAAAGCTTTCATAGTTTACCTATGACCATGTCTGATATTTCCCCCTTATGTGAATTTTTAGAACAGGAATATTAATTTGAGTTAACTTTTAAAATAGATTAACTAGCTCACACAAAAATTGATGCGTGGGAACTCATCCAGAATTAAAGCAGCCCCAGTGAAATTGTCTTCAATTGAATTTCAAAATAGGTTCAACCAGATTAAATCAAAGTCACTTTAGTTCTTAATATGTGATCACTCAAGCATTTTGCACTGTTTAACCTCTCCTTAAACTTTTTCTTATTAACACACGGTATTTGTCCATATCAGTGGTTAGACAAGCCTACTGAGAGTTAGTCTCCAACTATTTCATAAAGATCAGCTTCAGAATGGTGGAATTACTAAGATCAAGTTACTGGAAAGGTTGAATAGGCAGCCTTGGTTCTCAAACCCTAACAAACCTCAAACATTGAACCATTCATGGCAAGTACTTAAAAGGTGTATGCCTGAAGATCAGAGGCTGTTCTACATGAACTCTCTTGCAGGCAGCATTACCGTGCTGCTTGTTCTACTATCATGCTGCATGCTTACAGTGAAGAATGGTGATGACCCTGGGGAAATCTTGCTGCATGAGAAGACCTGTGTAGACACAGGACTTGTAAATGAATGGACACTGATCTTACTTAAAAGTTTTTGAAAAACTCTCAATGTGCCAGTTCCTTCTATTATTTTTTAGCCAATGGTACACATCCTGATGTCCAGGAAAAACAGTATGAATATTAATGATTTATTGCTGAATGTTAGTGAGGAAAAAAAAAAAGATAAACATCTAATTCAAGTTATTTCAAGGATGTTACTACTGTTTTCATTACTACCCTCAGAGACGCAGCTATTAATGTTCTCTTTATTGATCTATGCTTTTATTTTGAGAAAAGATTTAATATCTTTTCTATATTATTGGGCAGCTTCTCTGGTGAAGTTGTATTCAAATGGTCAGTTTTGAGAGAGTGAGTCTGTGCAGACGATGTTCTGAAAGAAACTACTGACAAAATACTGGAATCATCACACCTCTGAGATATACAGGCTACCTGAATGATGAGCAAAGTAGAAAATATATTATCCACAGTTCATCAGAATGATGAGTTTCTCACCTATCTATAGACAGGAGCAATCTATTTTGCACTCTCTTCTGACTACTGTGTATTTTATTTTATTTATTTTATTTTATTTATAGTAGTTCAATTCTTATATTTTATGGAATCAGACAAATATGTTTCTGCTTAATGATATTAACAGAGTGCATCTACAAAATGATGAAATAAACCATACTTCAAATATGGAGTCTCCAAATACTTCATACCAGTGAGAAAGAAAAAAGGAAAGCATTCTCATTCTCAGTGAAAATAATGATCAGAGGAAAAAAATCTTATATTGCATTTCTGACAAGTTTGTGACCCCTGAGCCCTGAGGAAACATCCTTAAATATCTCACATAAAATCTCACATTCAATAGAACTTTCACTTTTTTTTTTTTTTCTTTCTGAAATTTGGAGATCATACTTGCATTGGAAAATATGTTACAGAGATACAAATGGTGAAAGGCAACTAAATAATTTTATAGAAACAAACTAATCACCATATGCTAATACAGACAAATAATGACTTCACCCATTGGAGCTGCTGAGGTTTTCATGTGCAATCTTTTGCTGATAATATGTTGAAAATATTCTTTTTATGCTGGAAAACATCTGAGAAACAGTGTTGCAGAAGCAGAGAATAAATCTAGTTGAGAAATGCTTTTTTTCATAGAAAAGATAGCGTAGTATATTCAAATATAGGATGTTTCAATTGCACCTAATGGTAAGTTTAATTTTTCCAGATGTACAATATCTTTGACTAGACATAGGAGTTCATAGGATAGAAAATCTTATGTCCAAGAAACTGTAAACCTCTTAGCAATTTATAAGGGTAGATACATGAATTATGTAAGACACAGGGTGCTGGGGAATTTAGCATGACTAATTTGATTTCTATTTACCTTTAAAACAATCCACATATTTCTGTAGTTTAACCTATTTATACAGGTTTAAGATCAATCTCATTATTTCTCACTTTTCAAGCTCTTTCATCACTGCCTCTCTTTAATTTTGTTGTATTTGCATATTTGTCGTTTAAGATAAAAGCTTAAAAAAAAGTCAATCTCTTTAGCTAACAGTGTGACAAATGAAAGAAAGTGTTTCCTGGGCTTTCAGCCATAAGGACAGTACATGGCAATTGCAATAAACATAATCAAGTACTGGTTACTTTAAATTTTCATACTCTGATGTGAGCATTGAAGCAGATTAGGACTTAGAGTCTACAGTTGTTTATATAAAGGATATGGAAGACAACTCTCATCACAAAGTTGAATTTATACTCTTCTCAAATTCTATTCCAAATGCCCAAAAATCTGCTTATGTCTGCTTGTGAATAAATTTCTTGTAAGACAGAAGGAAAAGCTAGTGCCTAAGTTTCATTCTGAGCACAGGTATCAGTTTTGACACTTAGGATAGGAGAAAGAAGGGGGAAGAATTTTGAGTAATTGTTTGCAGCTCTACAGGGGAGAGAAATTTAGTGTCTACTGCACATATTACCATTGCTTATATGAAAGGTACAGAGATGCTTAAAATTCTGTCCAAATGTGAAACTTTCTGAAAACTGAAGATATATTCATCTTTTTAAATTGCTTATTTCACTTTATCTGAGTGCTTCATAATACCGGGAAAAGGCTGAAGGACTCTGATCAAAATCTAAGTACATGTGAATCTAATCTATTCAGCTTTTCAAACTGGAAAGGAGATTTACTATTTAAATTTTTAGATTCGCTCAGAAAGTGTAAATCCCATTTATCAGCAGAAATTATTACGATTTGATGCATTGGAGAAAATGCACTGTCTTCATCTTCAAACAACACAGGAAGAATAAATCAACTTCAAGAGGACATGACCTACAATTTGGTCTCAGCTTTTAAATTCTCAAACTGAGCAAGTACCAACGAACAACACTGACAAGAAAAAAAAAAGTTGATGTTCTTTTGGAAACCTTTCACCCACTTTCTGAAAGCTTACTAATTCTATTCAGTGGACAAAGAAGATACTGACGTAAAGTTATGCTTGTGAAGCCAGTTACAAAGGACTGTTTGCATAGAGTTGTTTGTGATCTAGGAAACATCCAGTCAGTTGTGTGATATTAGAATATAATTAGATTAACCAATAACAGCAATTATTGTTAATAAAAACAGTTTTCGAATGATGCAAACTTTGGTGTGCAGAAGACACAATAATTAGTTTAACTTATGCTTATCTTGAATTTTTAATTTTACTACAGAAGAAAATCTCTGCTTTAATTAATTAATTTACTTGTTATTTGTTGTCAGTATTGCTATACGGTTAGAATGGGTATGACTTTTAGCATAGGGTCTACATTCTGTGTATTTTGGTCAATTACAGAATTGTAAAAATACTAAAAGGAATTTAATTTTATACCTGATTCTAACATTGCATGCATTCCCTATCAAAGAAAAAATATATAAAAGCCTAAGCTAAGCCAAGCCATTCCTATATAGATACATCTAGCAGCATCCACACAACAAATTCTTGTGAGCTATGTGTGCAGCACGCTACCATTTGGGAGCTTGAGTTTAACATTTCATTCACATTTTCTTTCCCTTGATGTCTGATTGCACTGCATATGTTTTGCACTTAGCTATCATTTTTAGGTTTATTAAAATATTTATATTTAAAATTTACAGATACATATTTATACGCATATAAATGTATCTACACGTGCATCACACATTTTCCATCATATATATGGGATTGTAAAACATTCTGCCTATAGTAAGCATGGAGAAAAAAAACCAAAAAACAACATACAACAAAGCAATCTGAATTATTTGAGATGAAGTCATTTTCTCGACTGTCTAAGAACAACAAAGTTTTAACAGGAAGATTCATATTAATATTCAGTTCATATTTTGCTTTTACATAAGTACATAAGTTACATCTTAAGGTGAGATAAATAACCTAGATCCTTGTCTAGTGTGAATCAGTGCAGTTCCACTGAAGTTGCAGGGATCAATATCAGTCAAGTATCTGGAATGTATTTTTATTCTTATCTTAAACTAGGAAAAACATGGAGCAAACAATAACGCAGTGAGAGGAGATGTCCTCCTCAGATGCCCTACTCTTTTTCACCTTTTTTTTGTGGAGAGGATGTGAGTATTTGAAGAGACAATATTTATTCTTGTAAGAACAAATAAATGGAACAGAGTCCTCATTATGTAGTTTTGCTACGGAACAGATTTTCTATGAGAAACACGTGCTTATTTAAATAAATTACTGCCAAATTAATTATAGGTCACTTGGTTTATAATTAGCTACTTATTTCTTTAGAAGTTTAGTAAAATCATAAAGCAAAACAATTTGAATACATTGTTTTCCACAGGAATAATTCTTGTGGGTCTTTGTTTTCCTTGCATCATGTTGCCTTGACATGAATAACGGATACAAGACGGCTGTAGGAGTGACATCCCTTACAACAACAGGAGCACTTTGGAAAGGAAAAGGAATTTCTTTTATGAAAAAAGAAGGAAAACTATGTACCTGATGTCAGGTTGTGGTGTTTTGGAGCTTCTTTTGCTGGTGGAGCTCCTAAAGAACAAAACATAGATCATAACTTAGTTTTCTGTTTCAGGACAAAACATTTAATTAGATTTCAGTGAGAAACATCCTGGTGTTGGAATCAACTATGAGATAGTATTGGTATGATCCCAACTGTTTTTCAAATATGACTTTCTTTAAGCATAGAAACTGTATGTCTAGTAAACCCATAGAGGCAGACTGTTCCTAGTTTAGTAGATCTGCACTAGTACAATTAAGCATATGTTATTCTTTGAGATTCCAAGATTTTAATCATACATAGCACCTAATTGTTCTTGAAGACTAACGTATGTGGATCTGACTTCAAATCTTCACTTCTGTGAAAATCTCACAGCCTTTAGCAAATGTAAAGAGGATGTTTGTGTCATAGACCACTAACTTAAAATGTATTAGTGTATATTACTATTGATTATCTTCGGAGGTATAGAAGAAATAATTTCTATTATTATAGAGAAACAATCAGGGTGGTGCTTTATCAAAATGTTAACCAGACTATAAAAGACCATGAAGTATACAACACACACAAAAAAGTGTTCTGTGATGACACAATCATCCTACAATATGAGGTGGATGATCTAAAGCATCAAACAAGCTATGGAAGTGAACAATACACCACCATATCAGCAACCATAGCAGCAGACTGACTAGGGTAACCCACTCATCTGAGGACATAGAGCCAGAGCACCCAGTAGATCAGCTAATGATGTACCACTTTTGGGGTCACAGACAGGGCACCTCTGCAGCCAGATTGGACATAGAGCTGTAGTACTTGATGTTGACACCTAGAGGAGCCATCAGACATTCAGTTACTGGGAATCTCCACACAATTTCATCATTTTGACGTACTTGCATATGTTTAAAAATGTTAACAAAGCTCCTCTTTCCAGCCCCATGAAAAAAGCTGGTTTGCAGAGATTTTCATCCATTTATTACCTTTGTGTTTTTCATCTTTCAGATGTTTCTTCTCAGTTGCTTTTTCTAGGCAGAAAAATGAAAGGTAACTGAGTTCAAGGTTGGAAATAATTTAAATTCTAATTCTTAATAGATTATTATCTAGACTTTTCAAGTACAATTCTTTGAAAATTAATACAGTCTTTTAGGAGCTTTTTCATATACAAATACATGTAAAATTATGATCTGATATTATTGTACAATCATAGAATCATAGGTTTGTGTTGGAAGAGACCTTAACGACATCTAGATCCAAGCCCCCTGCCATTGGCAGGGTTGCAAAACACTACGTCAAGTGCTAGATCAGGCAGCCCAAGGCCCCATCCAGCTTGGCCTTGAACACTTCCAGGTACGGGGCATTCACAGCTTCCCAGGAAAGTCGTTCCAGTCTCTAAGTGAAGAATTTCTGCCTAACATCTAAAGTAATTCTCACCTCTTTTAGTTTAAAATCACTCCCCCTTGTCCTGTCACTACCAGACAGTGTAAAAAGTCTGTCCCTTTCCTGATTATAAGCTCACTTTAAGTATTGGAAGGCTGAAAGGAGGTCTCCCCACAGCCTTCTCTTTCCTAGGCTGAACAAGTTGAGCTCCTTCCACCTGTCTTCATAGGGGAGGTGCTCGAGTACTCTGATCATCCTTGTGATCTTCCATCTACACATACATGCATACACAGAGTAATTTCCTACCTTCTTTTTGCTTAGACGTCTTTCTTTTTTTCGGGGCTAGAAAGAATTGCAAGGAAAGAACATTAAGTGACAGCTCTCAGAAACATAATATAATCACAGAATCATAAAATGGTTTGAGTTGGAGGGGACCTTTAAGATCATCTAGTTCCAACTGCCCTGCTATAGGCAGGAACACCTCCCTCTTAGACCAGGTTGCTCACAACCCCATCCAGGCTTGCCTTGAATGCTTCCAGGAAGTGGGCATCAACAGCCTCTCTGGGCAACCTGTTCCTCAAAGCAAAGAATTATTTTCCTAATATCTAATCTAAAACGAGGGTCTCACAGCAAACACATTGCACAGAGCTGATCTCCTTAGTAATTTTCCTGGAAAAACTGGGCTAAATGTGTCTCATGGCATATATACAATGGATCTAATATTACAACAATAGTTGTTACCCTAGTGGTAGTAGCAGCTCTGAGCTTTCTGAACAGCCTTTGGAAATCTTCTGAATATTGCTTGTTGTAGAGTACTTCAGAAAGTTCTGATCGAGACTTTGGGCACTAGAATTCTGTAATTCCCTAGCAACTGAGAGAATTGCCTAACTGTTCATTGCCAAAACTGCACCAGGGAAGGATCCCTTTGCCTTCTGCCTTCTTCTCACTATGTTTCCTTGGGCAAACCTGATCACCTGAAACAAATAAACAGCAGGACTTGGAGCTAGATGTACCTTCAAAATTGCCAGATATGACCATTCTGAAGTCATACAGCAAAAGATTCTTCTTTATTTGATTTATTTATTTTTTTCTCAAATTGTACATCCACTTAGAAAACGTGTTCTTTCTTTCTGACATCCTTTTCTCCAGACTCCAAACAAGAGTCGTTGGTCTATGATTCCATTCAACAAGGCAGACTGACTGAAAGTAAGTGAGGTGTATTGCTGGCAGGTGCCTAAACCCGTTTCATTATTTCCTGTTGACTATAGCAGAAAACTGGCAGGCTGCTTTCAAAGTGTTCATTTTCACTTAGTATGGTCCAACCACTTCTAATATGAATTTCCTCAATGTCTTCTGATGCCTATGTAATCTGATTATTGCTAGCTTGCTCAGTGCTTATCATCTGTGTATATCTCCCAAGAAACGTGCTACAGAACAGTTAAAATAAGATAAAATAATCAACTGATAAAAGCATTCTTTGATGGAGAACTTTACATCTGCAGTTATGTCAGTTTACCAGCGCTGGTTCACATCAGCATTGTTAACTGTTGATGAATGTTATGTGCTCTTCAACAACGTTCATTATTTCTTTCTACAAGACATAGCAGAAAAATGTAACATTTACCTGTTATTTGGATTTCACTTGTTGACTCTACAGGAAAATTGTTAAAAATGAGGATGAAGGGGGAAGGAAAAGAATACGAGGCTTAGTACAATGGTTGCTTTTTTTTTTTTTTTTTTGCCTCAAGAAAAGTAACCGTTTAAATAGATCTTCTCTTTCATTTGCAACTTTTCTGCAGGATATTAATTTGCAATAAAAAATGTCTTAATGGCAAGTACGTAGGATTTCACAGTAAAAGCTAAGAGCCCCACTCTTTGAAGTACTATAATGCAGCATGCAATGGTTAATGCAAATGCAAACACTGTACCAATCAAAGCTTTCAAGCAAGTGAATATTTAGAGCTCTTTTCAAACATGCACTCAAGATTATGTGCGACCTACTGTAGGGAACCTGCTTTGGCAAGGGGGTTGGACTCGATCTCTGGAGGTCCCTTCCAACCCCTGCAATTCTGTGATTCTGTGATTCTGTTATAACTGCCTTTGCTCTTTCCCCCAAAAATATATTGTTTATTACCTCTCTTTTCTTATCATCTACACATCTCAACCAAAGACTGACACTTGAATAGCTGACATTCACCTCTGTATAACTTTCTCCTGCACCATCAGACTCCCCCCCCTTTTTACAGTAAAAGCTCTTGGAAGCTGGAAAAACTTTTGATTATGTGTTTGTATAGCACAAAATCAGCATATATTAATATCCATAATAGTTAAAGATAATTGAGCAACACAATGAGATAAAAATTCCCTGGTGTAAATGATCATTACTCTTTTGTAATCAAAAGAATTTATGATGTCGGGATTTGGAATCCATGAGATTTTTACCCCTAACTTCTTTGCTAGTCCATTTTATTTTAGAACTTCATTTTAAGAAAGGAAAATAACCTTGAATAAGGTCACAGAGCACTTAGGGGTCTCCTCCGACTGAATTATCCCAGTGTTTACTTCATTGTTGAATACTGACATCAGATGAATGTGAGGTTCTACAGATGATGGAAACCCACATGAAGGCAAAAATCTTTCAATACCCTCTTTTACAACAGGAAGTGTGAGCAATTAAGCATAGCTTTCACTAACATATCCCAGGAAACTTTGAGTCTTGATTTTGGTTCGTAAGGAGAGTCATAAATTTCAGTGCTCAGAACAGGAACCTCAGGCACTCAGTAAAGGCCAATTTTACTGCTATTAAATGCTAACATGCTTAAATCCTTTAATATTTACAGTTCTGCTTATAATCTTGCCCACAGATGTTGAAAACTTGCACATTACAGAATTCTGAGTGGATTAAAACTGCTTCTCATTTTTATTTAAGAAAATGTTCTCTTTGAGGCACTAAATCTGCAAAATGGATTCATGTTCTGACTCCTTAACTAGGAGTTGCCTAACTCTGAGGGACAGGTTCAGTTTTCTCTGCAATTTCTAATATTTACATTCAGATGATTATTGTTTACCTCCTATAGATCACGTAAATTCTAATTTGGGATTAGAAATTCTCTTAGTTGACCTGAAGCATGGTTTGTTTTACTTCTGTTGTATTCAAGATAGAGGACATTTTCTTTTTCCAACACATCAAGGAGTTCCCACTTATTCTCAGATCTTTGGAAAACACTTTGCCTCTACTGTAGTATTCTCATTACAGAGTTAAATGGGAATAAAGTTTGGCCAATGCTGAAATTTTGCTTAAAATACCAGCCTCTATAGTCTTCCTGTTTGTTTTATTTTTGTTGTTGTTGTTGTTGTTGTTTTTTGTTGTTTTTTTTTTTGTTTGTTTTTTGTTTTTTTTGGCAAAACTGTTTACAGTTTGGTGTAATTTCCTGCATGAGTCTGAAATACTATAGTTTTGTCCTCTGTTCAAGGTGACTTCTCTCACAGTTTGAGAATCCTTAGTGAGTATGCGGAGATTATGAATTTCATTTAAAATCCAAATTGGACATAGGGTCAATTGCTGTTATTGACCTTCATGTGAGCTAAACTAAGAAAATAAGTAAACTAATTACTTTTATAATAACATAATAATTAACATGTTACTATAAAAATGCATTTGGTGTTAATTTGGGGAATTTTCAAACTCAGCCTTGTATTTCTGTTTACTGTTGGTTAATCATTTGATGATAGAAAATCTACCAGTTCAATCCACATTTAATTCAATGTTAAGGTTACCTGGGGTGTAATATATCAATAGATTTGGCCCAGAATGAATGTATGGATTTATTATTTGGTCTTAACTAGACCTAAACTCCAAAGTCAGTGAGCTTTTGTGTCCATGACTGTATCTCATGCTGAATTACAGAATAGCTACCTCATGTTCCAGCAAGCATACTATACATCTGGCTGAGAATTATATGAAGCAAAGATATACTGAGCTTTAGAAAAAAATGGAAGGAGGAATTCAAATACTGTTCTCCTTTGAGTGGGAAAAAAAAAAAAAAAAAGTAGTTTAAATAGCTCAGATGTTTAAAATCTTAAACTAGATTTATTCAAGGAGAGTTAGTTCAGAATAGGGAGTATAAATAGAATTATTTTTGTGTATAATCATGGGTCTGTTTGATACTACTTTTTTCTTTCTTTCTTTCTTTCTTTCTTTCTTTCTTTCTTTCTTTCTTTCTTTCTTTCTTTCTTTCTTTCTTTCTTTCTTTCTTTCTTTCTTTCTTTTATCATTGTTAACCTTTATAATCATTTGAAGCAGCAGAATATAATTTCAAGACTGTAGTACAAATATCTGCAAAGGTCAAGAGAAAATATCTTGGCTGTTCATTATATTCCAAATATGTCAGGTGATACAGTTTTTGATATAATAGCCATATAGGCAGTGATTTTTGGTTAAAAGATTGTTACTGTGGAAAACATGAGTTAATTTCTGATGCTTCTGTAACAGAAGAGAGTATCATCAGTAGGTCTATTGTACAAACTAGTACAGAAGATAGTTCCACTGGACATAAAACTGAACAAATTTGAGTAATAGAATTAAACAAAGAAAAGAATACCTAAAATATGGGCAAAAAGAAAAAAATACGTAAAAACAACTGCCAAAAGACAATACACATAGCTTCATGGGACATGACAACTTTTTAATGATGACGTAAATGCTTAACACTAGTATTTAGGATTGCAGGAGATCCTTCTGCAGAGGCACATTTCAGATGCTTCATGTTCCCTATTTCCTCTTAGAGATGTGATCCAGATCAGCACTATGTCTTTTTACATTGTATAAAAGCAGTTATTTGTCTTGTCTAACCTACAGCATCTAATGTAGGAGATTAATTTATGAATCTTAATAGAACCAGCTTGCTTTGCCATATTGTCAACTTCTGAAACAGGAAGAGGACTGTGCCACAAGGGGCTTAGTCTTACATTTGTGTACTCTTTATAGATTACTTAACATCAGAATAACACATGGTTTGGTCTTGATGTGCCAGACAAAATTCAAGAAAGAAATCCAAGATTCTATCCTAAGGAGACTCCAACTAATTGAACAGTGAAGGTGCATACTTTACAACACTCACAATTCAAAGTGGGAAGTGTAAACATTGCCCTTCTGATTGTCGTCTGATCATGATTTGACGTATGTAACATGTAATTACTAGCCACAATAAGCATAGATTACAGCCTTTAGACATTCAGAAGTCTTAATGACCTTACAACGACATTATCAAATGTTCTCAGTGGAATCTTTGTTATGCAAAATATTTCCCTTGAATACTCTTTTCTTCAATTTAATTTTAGTTATTTTTTATTAAGGTGAAAAAAGTATTAAAACAAGGCCAATAAAATATGTTTATTATATTCATGAAATAAATCATCTCCAAAGCACAAAAGAAGTTCTGTAAAGATTTTCTAATTCAGTTACTATATTGTAATTTTAGAAAAAGATAAATTTACATGAAGTTACATTATGTACCTACACTCATCTAAAATCACCAGAACATCAATTATGCATCTAGCATAATTTCCTTCACTGTTATAAATAGTAAAAATTTAAGAATTTGAATACTGCCACTTCACAGCATTTTATTGCAAATGTGTTTTGATGTATTCAGATGTTACTAAGCAAGCTAAGGACAATGTAAGCATATAATTAGTATAAGCAAGAAAATACTAATAACTAAAAAGAAAAAATTACAAAAATGTGAATTGAGACAACATGCATCTGAAAAACAGGTTTATATTGCATAGAAAGCAAGGCATGGCACGTACTTGCAGTTGTTTTCAGTTTGACTGGGAATAAAAAAGAAAAAAAACGGTCAGAACAGTGAGATGCAGCATAACATTTCCATGCTGGAGAACTGCTTTATTTGTACTTTGTATTTACTGAATATTGAAAAAATTCAGTAATTGTACTGTAATTAAAAACAAACTAATGATGGAAAATAATAGTAGGCATATTTTTCTCTGCATGTGGTAATCACTATGCTATAGTAAAGGATGAATAATAAGATCAATAATAACTTTATTTCTTCACTTATTTCCTTACACTGAGAAGAGTAGAGAGGACTTGTTAAACCCTTGGTGACTGCTTCACCTCAAAACTGAACTATGCAGCTTCCTATAACTGCAACAATTTTGCTCTATCTTATGCAGGAGAGGTTGCAAAGGAATTATGATATGCAGGGACAGTTACCACGAACCGTGGCTGTTGCCAGGTCATGAACTGACATGATCTGAACATATTACTAGTATGGAAAACTAAATTGCTGATGTTGCTGAGGAATTAAATCATGCCAGAAGGCTGTAAAGTCCAAATAAAAGGCAGATACCAACAAATAATTCCCAAAATGAAACCATTTAAAATAAACATCTTAAAACAATGGTTCAAATTCTTCATCAGCATAGCTTCTTTGATGCCAGTGGAATTACAAAACAGAAAATTGACCTTTGAGATATGTATATATATATCTTCAGAAAATGACAAAAGGCATTGTAAATAAGTACTGTGCTAGGTTTGCTATGGTATGACATGTAAAAGATGTTCTATGCTGCAAAATAGCTCACAGGACCATGATTTTGTTCATTCTGACATTTGTCATATGCAATTATATTTTCCTATTTGTTTAAAAAACAGTTTCAAAAGTAATAAACACATAAAATGCAGGAGTGCCTACCTGGCTTTGTATGTGGAACATCTTTTTCATGCCTGACTGCTTCATGCTCTAGACAAAAGAAAGAGCATAACAAAATTGTCATGTTTCTAAGTTATGTTGTGTCTTTTTTTTTTTTTTTTTTTTTTTTTTTTATTAAGAAGGACTGCATGTATACTTTTCAGAAAAAAAAGTTAATTTTCTATTGCTTCATGCAGTTACTTTGGAAAGAAGCCAAATGACTACTTGCTAACAGATTATCCTCTAAGGAATCTGCTACAAAATTATGAACTTCAGTAGTATTGCACATGGCTTCACATAAATGGCTGCAATTAATTTTAGTGGGAGCTATGCACACATATTAAGGAAAAAGTCAGTTTAGAAAAGTATTCCCCTCAATTTCTGAAGTGCAATTTATATCCACTCTCCAACCTTGTTATTTGGAAGGAGAATAGAAACCATACCCAGAAACCTTTTGCTCAAACTTTATGCTGAGTCAGAAATAATACCATTGAATTCCCAAAGCTTTGAAGACATCCCATTCTGTATGAATAAACTGTATATCGCTGTGAGAAATTAGAGAACTCGCAGTGCTTTGCAGGCCATGCAGTTTTTTCCTCCTTTTTTCTATATCATAATTATTATAGAAAATAATGAGATTTGGTGTAAGATTGCTAGAAATAGAAAGGATGATAAAAGGGTCTAGCACTATGTAATCTGTATCAAAGCTATGTCTATTTAAAAGGAATTTAAAAAAAAAAAAAAAAATACCAACAAAACAGATTTTGTAGCATAGTAGCAGCTAAGCTGTATGTATGAAAAATAGGGGCCGTGGTATATTTTAGAGTTGAGGAATCAATGGACTATTATGATGGCCTTGTATCTAGGTTTCTTTCTGAGCAACAAGTAGGATGCAATGAGTGTTATAAAGTGCAAATGTTTAAAATGTGAGTAGCCTCTAAAAAAACAGCAATGTGTTTCATCACTTCTGCCATTTGATGAATAACTGAATACCTAGAAACTATGATTGTAGGTGAACATATATTCCAGGAAATGCTAAGATTTATACAAGATAAGGAATTTAAAGCTTTATGAGGTTTGAATTAAAAATTATGTCTACAGAGAGTGATATTTTTCTCAAGTTTAGGCTTTTCCTAGGAGTGGAGGTTTATGGGAACACAATCATTCTATTTTTTTTTTTTTTTTTTTTTTTTTTAACTTTTGCAGTTTATATTTGCATGCTGAAGGTATGAAAGATACAGAAATTTAACATGCAGGCTGCATACTAAGTTAGTGCATGGGCTTTTCAGTTCGTGATGGAGAAAACTGCTAGATTTAGTCGCATTAGAAATACTGTATTCATATGAGTAGGAAAACAATGCAGTGATTTTTTTCTTAATCAGTAGCATTAATTAAAAGCATTTAATTCTTAACAATGAAATTTAAAAAGCTTATCACTATTGTATTAATACCTGTATTATTAGACCAGGAAAGAGCAATGACAAGACAATATGTTAAATGAAAATACTCAAAGACATAGGGGAATAGGGGGGGAGAGGAAGGTGGATAAATACACAATAATTTAAAGCAAAACAAGGAAGTATTAAGGGAAAGTTTCCATGTATTCACACATATCCAGCTATATTACAGGAATTTTTCTGATCAAGGTAGGTACCACGTACTTGCTGGCTTTGCCTGGACTACAGAAGACAAAAGAAGGTGAACTGTAGCATTTAGATATAAAAAAGATTTCCTTGCCATTTTAATATTCAAATATTCTTATCATATCATGATTCTCATTTTTTCTTAGCTTTCCCCACTAAGGTAAACATGTACAGCATTCAAGCTGCTAAAATGCAGACAGTCTTTAACATATATAGACCTTTGCAAGTTCCTCTATCTAACTACTCTTGTTGAAATAATGCCACAACCTACTTGTTTGCCTATTGCTAATTTGTAAAACATTCTGGTTAGAAATATATTGAGGCCATTTCTCCAACTCTATTAACAGAAACATTGTTCATGGTTTTGAACAAGCTACAGCAGTTTATGGTTAGATAAAAACTATCAAAACTTTCCTGGTTATATAGTGCTACAAAATATCACTTCATGTTAAAATGATTGATTAACATGTGAGTTCTTACAGAAAGCAATATAACCAACAGGTTATGTGAACGTTCACAATTAGAGACAGAACAATACTATTCAGTATAGAATCTATTCTGCTACTGAAGTGAAGGAAAACCACATACCAAATGAGAATGGAAATGAGGTAGCAAATTGCACTATTCAGCTTAAAATAAAATGGCATTTTATTTTATTGAGAAAATTCATTATCATCACTACAACAATCATCACATCATACCAACACCATCTGTTGATTTTACATAATTGTCTGAGATTTGGCAACTTTTCATTGATTTTGGAGTAAAGAATGCTCCTAGTAGAAATATAGGCCGATATCTAGTTAAAATCTTAAAAAAAAAAAAAAAAAAAAAAAAAAAAAAATTGTGTAATCCGTGAGAAATTATGAGAATGTTCTAATTGCTTGAGTGACACTCCAGGGCTTCTACACAAGTTAATGTTGCTTGAACCATTATTATCACAAAATCTACAAGGACCCAAAGCCTATAAGTAAGACCTATAAGTTATTTCCAAAATCAGTTTTTCCATGAGAAAACCAGATTGAGATGCATTCAAGTTCCTAAACCACCTAATGATTCATCCTCCTACGTCATTTCCTGCATGTGCAGTTCTCTGTGCTGTAAATTCAGTCACAGGAAGGTTCTGAGCTTGGGGAAAAAAAAAAATAATAATAAAAAATCAATGATTTGCACTGGAGATAAACTTGGGAGAGTTCTGATTTACAGCTCCACTCCATTCCATTATCCCATCTTCTGGCACAGGAGGAAAAATCAGCACAGAGCTGAAACACCTCAGCCTGGCATTGTCATTGGAAAGACTGTTGGAACTGCATTTGCATTTGCCACTCTGCTAGATTTGCACAGAGAACTATTTTCAGCCACATATTTCAAAATATCATAAAAACTGACTGTAATGTAAGTGTATGACATTGGAAGAATTATGAATAGTGTTTAATGCTCCCCACACTCACAGCCCCCCTAAAACAGGAACTTGTTCCTACCTGATTTCTCAGTGGGAGCTGTCTTTTGTTGTTTAATTTTCTCCTCTGTATTGTGAAAGCAGCATAAAAGTTAGAAATTCATACTGTGTTAGCATAGGTACATATAACTGGAAAAACATTTCTAAACATATTTTATGTATGGTTCACAGTGGCAAAATAAATGCATGCCTTTGTCATCACTATCTCACAATAGTATCGTAAAAGAGCATGCATGCATGCATTGTGAGTTCTGGCTATGTGGTGAGATCATACACAACGGAAAAATAAATTAGTGGGACTAATGCTTGTCACCAGATAACAGCCACATACCTGTTAATGTCTTTCAAGTAGGCATTAAGATGGAAACTGTATTTCTATTGTACAACTAATATAACTTTGTGGACCTTGCCCTGATTCCTAAGTTCAACAGTTAGATACTATATGACCCTGAAAACTCAGATGTTGCCTAGGCACAAACATTGACTCACACATCTACAATTTGAACACAGGAAATGTATGGAGACCCTCAAGAACATGTTAACTCACACAGGCACATCCATCCAGGGCAGTGTCAATATGAAGGACAGTTCATATAATACTAGCTAAGCTTACTTAGACCTAGCAGGATATCTGTCACGAAACCTTACAGAAGACCTGAGTTTCTGCTAGTTTCATGAGAAAAGCTGCCCAACCCCACAGACTTCTGAACTGCCTGTGGCCTTGCTCAGCACGGCTGTCAGGTGACACAGGCACATGTCAACATCAGCCTCCAGACCTGAGCAGATGTCCTACAGGCAAGCAGGTGGTGAAACTTCAGGAATAAGGCAAGTCAGGTGAGAATTGTAACATTTGTTTTCAGATCTCTACCCAATGACTTGAACATTCCTCTTTCTGATCTTCTAAAAGCTCTGCTCCCACTTTCTCACTTTACCCATATCTGAATTTAAAATTCTTTCTTAACACCTATTTTTCCACATTCACACACAACACTATTTAAGACATTATTTTAGACATATTCAGAATATATTTCCACTTCCTCTCTGATGTAGGCATTTACATCCACAAGCTTCTGGCCCTTCTCTTTCTCTCAAGACCTCTGCTGGGTATCAGATTCAAGTTGAAACAGGTCAGCTTGGATAGAGCTATCTTGTCCCCTAAAGACATACAACTAATCTGAGCACTAGCTGACTAGAAATACTGCTGGATAGTCTGTGCATGCACAAAACTTCTTGGCTCTTGAGCAGGAGCAGTGTTTCCAACCTGCCAAATGTCCTTAAACATGGGAGAAAGCACCAGAGATAGGCGGAAAGGAACTGCCTGCGAATCGCCGTATTACCTCTCTACCAGTGCACCCTTATGGTCAACATTAAGATCTACTTCTTTTTTGTGGGAGCAGTTTCTGTAGACTCTAAATGTCTAAGGTGGATACTAGACCCTAGTCTGCACTGTAAGTATGTAGAATGGAATTTAGAGTGTAACTTCTACATAACTTCTTTGTTTTTTCCTTCTGAAGGTAGAGAGAAAGTTCATCTGCTTCTCTGCATCCATTTATTTTTCACTTAACTCTCTGAGATTCCCAGAGCTATACACATGCCAAACAGGATAAACAGGGCTATTTTATCATGTGGCAACAGACAGAGAAGCAGTCTCATTTCTGCAGTCTGTGCTTTTTGTAGGGAAGTATTGAGGGGAGAAAATATAGGGAAAAGTAAAGCTCAATTTCGGTTGATCTTTTCTATTCTTTGGAAATAAAGAAAAAGCTTTGCACTGCTGTGCTTTACAGTTGTCATCTGGTGGGTGGTGATTTAATTTCTTTTCACCCGTATTAAGTTTAGAGCTTTTTTTTTCCCCTTACTCAGCTATTGTTATGAATGTAGTGAATTAAAAATTTCATCTCTGTTTCATGGCTGCCTGTGAAAGTGGAAATGTTTTTATAGCACAAGCAGCAACTTGCTGAGATCAGGTATTCTCTTTCTGCTCTTTGAAGATCTTTAACATATTAATTAATTCACATATTCACTTATTGAGGTTAGGATATTGAGTTTTCTATACACTTATAAACAAAACAAACGGAAAAACAACCCAAAGATTGGTGACTTTATACATAAACCTTTTACTCTTCACTGAATTAATGACAAGTAAAACTCAGAATGTGTGTAGCTTCTTTGTAGCTTCTCTTTATTTGGACACTATCCCTGCTCTCTTTAACACTAGATTGGATATTCTTTCTTTTTCTAATTCTGATGAGAATTTACACCAATGCTTGCCCTATAACTGTAGGAATCTACAAACCAAATCTGTGAGTGGATGGCATGTCTGATTCATCTAAAAGTATGAGGAGGAATTTCTTTTCAAAGCAAATTCATTTCTGAAAATAGTGTGTCTTGAATGGGCCTAATAACGTGCATTCATCTGGAGATAAATGCAGTAATTCTTTGGTATTTGTTCACCTATCTGCTCTGCAACTTAACTGTACAGCAACTATTGATCTTCTGATTCCACTGGAGAGCACCATGAAGGCTGCATCTCCCCTTTTCCTGGCAGATCTCCAGATGGTGACTGTATGGCTTTTTATCTGTGTCCAACAACTGGTCATAAGTAGAAGGAAACCAAATGAGCAAATTAGCAAAACTTAAGAATTTACAGTCTCTACAAGGGAACACTCTTCAAGAAATCAAGAATTTTCACAAAATCGTATCAGTTTACTAAACTTTCCATGTGGAGAAAAGCAGTGAAAAGAACTACGTTTGACCAAAATAGAAGAAATGCTTCAGCCTTTTATCATAGATATTTTATACCTCATTTAATTCTTTTATTACTATATCATGAGGACTCCAACAGTAACGTTAAAAATTTGATGACTTCATAAAGATACAAAAATTCCAAAATATTATCATTTGTGAAATATTCAGAATTATAAAAAAAATTCTAAAATACAAGAGACTTTTTAAATTTTCTCTGCAGCACTTCTGTGCAGTACTACCAGCATTAATATTCATTTTTTTGGGGGACATATAATTTAAATAGGAAAAATATAAAGCTGTAAATATTTCTGTGTATTTCAGGTAGCTTTAGATGATTTACAGTAGGAAAGAATCCTCTCGCTTTACCTGCTTTTGCACATCCCCTAAACACTTTTTAATTTCCCTATAGAATCACTCTATTTTCTGAGATTCTCTAGTTACTCGGTCATGTGACACTTCTAAAACTGATGACAGCAGACATAAGAATAACAGTTTGAAGCTGCTCTGTATCAAGGTGAAAAAGGAGGCCGCTGCTTTGTACAGAACAAGGCTTTTGTAATTCAGCTGCGAACTCAAGAGCTCTCATTGGCAGGCAGAAGCATTATTACCACCTGTGTTGGCAGATTAATACTTGCAGTCATCATCTGCAGTTCAGAAGAGCCAATGCTCTCCAAAGGAACTGTTAATCACTGGAAATTTTTTACGATAAAGGAAATGTAGCAAGTCTTTTTTTTTTTTTTTTTTTTTAAATTATTATTATTATTTTCAAATTCCAAAGGCTTTAATCTGGAATTTACTATACCAGAGCAAACTGCTCATCAGTCTGATGTACAGGCTATGATAAGATGCTCTGATGTTTGCAAGTGCCTTACAATGGAAATTCAGTTAAGTGCTAATACCTCGATCAAAAAAAGCTAGCTGTGCAGATAGAGCTGGTTCCATTTTGATGGGTAGGGGAACTGTTGTGCTGCCTGCCTGGGTGACACAAAAATGGGCATTAAGACCCCTGCCATCACATGCAGTGCCAGACAAGGTGACTTTCTCACCAGGGCATGTCTGCCTCAGCCAACCTCACCCACCCCTGTCTGCTGGCTAAAACATCTGCTAGCTCTTAATATCTGAAAGGTGGACAAGGAGGCAACATTTCTTGGTGTGTGCCTTTAAAGGCTGGAGTGAGGAACATTCCTTTTTTTTGTCCTGTTGACTCAAAAACAGCAGTATAACTAAATCAGTTGTTAAAGTCTTGTATAAAACTGTCAAACTGTCCACGAAATATTTAACTTGCAATTTGGACACCATATTATAAAAACAAAAGAGAAGTAAAAGTACAGGAAAAAAAATTGTTATCCTACAAATAATTCCCCCCCCCAAAAAAAAAAAATTAGGGAAAGAAAAAGATGAAAAACAAGGCTTTTTGGTCACCATTGAACAAGGTTTCAAGGGGTTTATTTGATTATTTATTCGTGACTCATTTTTTATGTGAAATTTAAACAGCAGCACTACCAAAATTGTTCATTAGACACCAACGCAATGGCCATACAGCCTTCAACCAGATCACATGGAGCTAATATATGCAGAGCAATAGATGAGATATGCTGTCAGTCTTGTTTCTTTACAGCAGACAGATTGTAGGTCTCTGTCTTCTTCCTCAAAAAGTACAATGAGGACCAAAGCCCCAGTTACACAACAAAATCTCACAAGCACGTAACTCAAGCCTCTAAGTTTTGCAGACCACAGTGGTCCATACTGAGCTGAGCATGGAGTGACTGGAAATTGAATTACCAAACTTACCTGGCTTAGTGTGAGAGATTGATTTTTTATGTTTAATATGTTCATGCTCTGCAAATAAGAAGAACCCCTACTTTAGAGGTTTTTCATTTTTACATTTTAAAAATAAAAGATTCCCTTTATAATTTTAGGAGGTTATTTTGCATTATGTATTAACATTAGACTTGATTTTTATAAATGCTAGTCTTGAGAAAAGATTTAAAAAATCTTTCTCAAAATCAAAATAATACAAAAAAAATTGTCATCATTTCTCCTTGATGTTTAATGTAGAAAATATTGAAGCTTTTTTTTTATTATTTTATTTTTATTTTTTTTATTTTTACTTTAGAAATGAAGCAGTATTGCATCAAATGGAAAAGAAAGTTCAATATACTGCATAAACAAAAATTAGCTTTTCATATTCCTCTGTCATCCTGGGATCAGTTTTTCTGGATTCCACATGCAATGTGAAACAGTGACAAAAATAAATATTACATTTTATTAATACACAAGCTGAATGCAATTTTGCAGCTTTTAAAAACATTGATATTAGAAAATATAGTATGGAATAGAAAAAGGAAAGCAAAGGAATATCAGAGGAAATACTAAAAACATATTTCATTCTGATTTATAGCAGCTATGTCTAAACTGCGCAGCACAGCAGGAGGTAAATCCCTCCATTTTATGGATCAGAGCCTGGACAAGGAAGCGCACAGACCCTTCCTGGTCTATGTCACTCGTGATTTCTGCCAGTGCCTCATGGAAACAGAAGGCACAGTTAGTTCTTATCCAAACCTGAACCGGAGTAGAGTTTCCACACATACTGGGGCTTGTGAAACATACCTGATCCTGCGCTACAGAGACTGTCACTGAACGTCAGTTTCAAAAGTCAAAATTTCCTGTGAGTGTTTGCTGATGAATCTCATTTTGTGCTGCCAAGACTTTGAAGATGTAAAAAAGTATCTTTCTCTTAAAACCTGAAGTAACAGCATTCTTCAACAACTTTATACTTACTGTGTTCGTGAGGTTTCTCTGAAGTGCCTAGAAGTAACAAAAATCTTTTAATACTTTTATGACTACAAAACAGGATTTAATGCATTTATTTGTGACATTTGCAAATGGATAGAACATTTAACATTCAGTTAATTCTCTATTAAAATGTTTGACACTTTATGTATTCTTCTTTATACTATCTATCTCAGCCACCTAACTGGGACACTTAAGAAACATAGATGCTTTAAAATCCTAATTGAGCTGATGCTTGATACAACTGCCTCTGTCAGACTTCTACGTGTCCTTTGTGGGCTGAGCTGCCTGCACTAAACAATGACCATGTCTGTAACCTAAGTTAGTGACACTGGTAGGCGAGGTGCCCAGTTCAGTGTTGGTTATTCAAATCTGGAAGTGCCCAATACTGGAAAAAAAAATAGATAATACTTGGAGTGACAAAGTGACACCTAAGGCAAACTAAATCAGACCTTATGTCAGCCCTGACAAACACACTTCCCGCAGTAAGGTCAGTACGCTTCAGATGTATAAGTGACACTCCAAGGAGCAGAAAGAAATATCTGAAAATAAGTGGGGTGCAACTAAACAAAAAGCCTCATCGCTTCACTGCCATATCTCTTAAACTTTCCGCTTCTTTTTGTTTCCTCAGAAAAGAGCAGATTAAATAAAATTAAAACCTGAACTAATGGTTTGCATGAACAATGAGAGAGAGGTAAAAGCTTAGGAAGCCATGCCCCATACCATTAGCTGTGCTATGGAAGGAAATCCAGTGCTTAGGCCTGGCTTGCCATCTGGATTTTTCCTTTTAACTTTTGTAAGGCAGGTGTTTCTCAGGCCATAAAGGCTCTGCCACCCGTATGTATCAGTCTGCCACAGTCTGAGAAGATGCAGCAGTGCAGGATGAGCTGCCTTTGCAGGCCCAGACGCACAAGCAGTAATTTCTGTTTTACTTGCTTTCACTATCATAGAATCATAGAATCATAGAATTGCTTGGGTTGGAAGGGACCTCGAGGATCATCAAGCTCCAAACCCCTTCCTGCAGGCAAGGGCTGCCAACCACCATATCTAATACTAGACCAGGCTTCCCAGGGGCCCATCCAATCTGGCCTTGAACACCTCCAGGGATGGGGCATCCACAGCCTCTCTGAGAAGCCTGTTCCAGCACCTAACTACTCTCTTGGTAAAGAACTTCCCCCTGATATCCAACCTAAATCGTCCCTCCCTCAATTTAAAACAATTTCCCCTTGTCCTGTCAAGGGGCTTTCCTGCTTTCCTGGAAGGGGCAAAGCCTTTTCATTTTACGTCAAGTATCTGTTTAATCCAAGTTGTCTCTGCGATGTGAAGAGTCAATGGCTGGAGATGACATGAAGAATAAAGCAAAAATAATGGAACATTTTATTGGGGCAGTAGATTAAAGATGCAAATTAGAGGGACATACTTGCTTACAAGTTTAGTCAAATCCCATTGTAGTTGAGTATCCAACAAAAATGTTGGAAATCTGAAAAGATGATTCACTTTGTATTGTATCAAAAGGTGTTATGAGATACACTCAACAGCTACAAATTTCTGTTTACTAAAGGAAATTCATGGAAAATATAAAAATATCCTGCACTTTGGGTTCTCGTATACTGACTTATATAACAGACTAGTGTTATTCTTACAATTAAAAAACATCACCTATAATGATCAGAGGTACACCCTGCCTTCTGTTTCTGGTGTAACACAGCATACATATACAGATAAAAAACAAATCAGAGATGAAAAAATGAAAATCTCAAATTAAAAAAAAATTACAGACTATGTCAGCTATGTTAAAATTTAGCATAAATAATAATTTGTTCTGCCAAATATGCCATGATTTCAGTCAGTTGAATATTAAGCTTATTATTAAGCTTCATTTGTGCCATATTATTTCATCAAAGATGACATTCGAACTACTTACACCGCAAACAAAACCCCAAAATGGAATCCCAAGAATCTTATTTCTTTTCTTAAAGTATCATAGTTGTTTGTGACACAGATATCCAGACTATTAACTCAGTGAAAACGTGATGATAAAAACTAGATGTCGATTATCTATTCAGAATTTCCAGAATATTTTATTACATATTATATGGTATTTAATTTAGAGAGTGAGAAATTAAAGGTTATGTTCTGCTGCTCTCCCTCATCTCATGTACTATATTGTTCTGAAAGTGAACCTTTATTCAATTTTGTGCTTAAATAATATTTCTTTACACAGTACCTAGACAAGCTTTGATACTCCACGCTGCAGAATGTGTGAATGTTGAAAATTTTCATCATTTTGAAAAGTGAGTAGGCAAATTACAGAAGAATCTACTTAGAACATGAAATACTATTTCTGGCTTAGGAAGTGTCTGAGATGAGGTCATGGGAGATCATGAGACTCTGTTATGTGACTGTTTCCTTTTGTACTCTTCCCTAGACTTAGTGTTTTGGGTATTGGATTAGATAAACTCTTGATATCTCTTCAAACAGCTGCTGTGATGTTATTAACTAGCAGCACTATCAGCTGGGTAAATAACCCCTTGTTTTTCACAATGTTTTAAAAGTCAGTCCTTAGTAATTGTTTTATCTCTATTTGCTTAACACTTAAAGAAGGAAAAGGATCCGATGCAGATCTAATGAGAATAGAAAAAGCTTTGATGAAATACTTGAAGCTACATAACATCTGAATTAGATCAATGAAACTATCTAGGTCTAAGCTCAGCAGAAACTTTTTTGAAATTTCTTTTATGTCATTCTAAATTAATCTTGGTAACTGGGATTAATAGTTATCTTGCTGTATTTCACATTTGCTTAGAATTTTCTTTGACTCTTGTCTGCTATTCTGAATGCCAGAAGGGCATTAATTATATACAGCATATTTTTGTAAATTAGCTTCAAATAGGGGGTCAGAATAGAAATCTTCTGGTTTATTGAATGGTAAATTGGTGAGGTTAAAAGAAGGACATACTCTTTGATTACAACATGGCTATTTTCCATCTGGATAACAGTTATTTGCTGTTCAGATACAAATATATCATCAAGCATGCATACTCTGTAAGGAAATAATATGTTATGCAGGAAATGGAAGCAACACTAGAACTATTTATTTTAGTGAAGAATAACAAAATACTAATACATTATGTAGCTGAGAAAATTACTTTTTATTGAATAAATACCTGTGTATGATAAATAAGATAATAATATAATACTTTCCATTATACTAAATACAAACTTAGTTCATCACCCATTAAAGAAAGCACAAAGGCTAACAGGATTTGGACTGGGCATTAGATGAGCACAGTAGTGACATCACTCTGTAAAAACAACCCAGGCCAAATGAGGAATCACAATCAAAATGATGAATTAATGGAATTCTCAAGATTTGTGCCTGAATTTACGGTTGAAACAGTTTTGTTCTAGATAAGTGCAAGGTTTTTCGGATTGGGGAGCAACTGTGTTATCAAAAAGACAAGCGGAGTAAATTACATTCCTTATATTTGGAGAGTTCAGAAGGCCTTAGATCACATAAACTTTAGAAAACAATAAAAATATAATGCAAAGAGATTCATCACAACTTAGCATTGTACAAGAGCAGTAGGAGTCTCTGTGAAGTTATTGCCTCCCTACTAATTGTCACTTATGGGAGCAGTCATAGAATCATTAAAGGTGGAAAATACCACTAAGATCATCTAGTCCAACCATAAACCATCACCACCATGCCCATGACCATGTCCCTCAGTGCCATACCTACACAGTTCTGCAAAACTTCCAATCAAATGTTCCCACAAGTTTTCCTGATCAGCAAACCTGACCTCTTATATCTGCCTATGTCCTCCTCGATTCCTGCTGGCTGGCTAAGCAGCTGGCAGACCGATTGTGCAGAAAAAACAGCCTAATGAGCATATGTCTAAAAAATTACCCATCAAAAAGTAGATTAGTTGCAGCACGGTTCTGTTAAGAGACTGGTTTATGTTCTCCCTCATCCTTGCTCTAGGTTAGGATATTTCCTCAACAGTATATGGCCAAAAGTTACACTATGGAAGGGTCAAAGTAAAGAAAGCATGAAGAGTGTGGTAGTGACATAAATAAAGGGAGCTGGTATGTGAATATTGTAAATTGAATGCTCTGTAAACCTTACCTTTACAGAATCTCTTAATTTCCTTCAGAGTTCATTTTATATTTCTGTTTAATTTTAAATATATCTTAAGGATATTTGTCCAGGTTTCTACCCATTAAGGAAGTACTATGCCACATTAGCAAGACAGGTATTACATACTAAGAGATTTGTTGAGTTTATCTGCAAAGTCTGCTAAAGATAAAGGAAGCAGAGAAACCAGATTTCCAGAAAGTACTTTCCAGCTTGTTTAATAGCAGAGAGTGTTTGTTTTAGTCTCTACAGCATCACAAACTTCTTTGGACTACCATTTCAGCATGAGTCTTGTGACTAGTGAGGGCGATAGTGTACGTGACTAAGGCCGTCACTCCCAAAAATGCCATGATTTAGCATTAAAATTAACAATTAATTGCTGCCATTAGAACGTATAGGGTATGAACCTCTAACAGATTAATATTTCTGCTATTCACCAAAAGCGAGCAGGCTGTTCTTACAGTCTCTACTGCCTTATTTCCACTACCAGATAAATGCCTTCCTGCAGTTAGCATGTTTGTGTCCTTGCTGTTTGATTTGTCATTTACCTTAGGGCTGCATAGTGAAGAATGAGATGACTCTTGGTTCTGGGAGATTTTGCTGTAATTCTCTAGAGCTACTTTTTTTTTTTAAATTTATTTTTAACAGAAATTCAACACTGTTTTATATAACTGGGAAAAACAAAAAGTATTTCACAGAGAGAATGGAAGAAAAAAAACTTCACCACGGGGTAAATATAATAGAACTAGCAAAGAAATACAGACATTTGCAATATTTTTAAATGTTTTTTAATGAGAGGAATTGCTTCTACTTGATTCTGAGATGCATGCCTTTAGGGAGCATCAGTAATGATCCCAATCTTTCTCTGTTTCCCAGT